TTTTGAGTTTAGTTTTTTTTGGTTGACTATTGTAGTATGGTAACTATTCCATTTCCCCCTGAGGAGGATGTATATTCTATTGTTATGTGGAGTGTTTTATCAATTTAAATTATATCAATTTGGTTGATAATGTTGAAATATTTTGTGTTCTTGCTGATGTTCTGGATACTTCTCTGCTGATTTTTGAGAGAAGAATATTGAAATAACTAAATCTAATTGTAGATTTGTCTATGTCTCCTTATGGTTCTATTATTGTTTTCTTCATATAATTTGAAACTGTTATTATATGTAAAAACATTGGGATTGTTTTGCCTCCATTATACTTAAACTCCTTGACATTATGTAATGACTTCTCTGTCCTCAGTAATATTCTTTTCTCTAAAATGTGTGCTATCTTGTATTCATATAAATATTCCAGCTTTCCTTTGATTAGTGATGAATGGTTTCTCTTCTTTCATAAAAGTAAAAGCTTTGAGCCTGTGAGCAGTGTATATTAGTGTCTTGTTTTTAATCCAGTTTGACAATCTCTGCCTTTTGAGTGGGGATTTTTAGACCACTTACATTCACTGTGATATGTATATGGTTGTTTTAGGGTTTTTTTTCCTTGCCATTTGTTTTCTGGTGCTCTGTTCTTTGTCCCCCCTTTTGTACATTATACATCCACTTTTGCATTAATTTTACATTTCCTATATTTTATCTTTGTTAGAATATTAACTATCATTTTTTGTTTTGTTATTTTAAGTATTGCTTTAGTGTTTATTTTGTGCATCTTTAAGTAATCACAGCCTACCTTCAAAGAATGTTACTCCATTTAATATATAGTATGAGAACCTTATGTTAATATTACTTTTATTTCTTCCCTTCAATGCTTTTTGCTATTGATTTCATGCATTTTATTATACATGTTATAGATACTATAGACTATTATTATTCTTTTATAAATAGTAAATTATCTGTTAAAGATATTTAAATAAGAAAATATATTACATATATTTACCCATATATTTGTATTTCCAGTCTTCTTTATTCATTAGTATAGATCCATATTTCTATCTGGCATTATTTTCACTCTTCCTAAAGTAGTTCTTTTAAACATATCTTGTACTAGGCTAAACTATAGGCCTACTGGTGTTAAATTTCTTTCTGCTTTTGTATGTCTAAAAATATTTTTCTTTGGAAATCTAGTTTTTTCAAGATGCAAAATTCTAGATGAACAATTTGACCTTTTCCTTTCAGCACTTTTCCAGTTACTCCACTGTCTCATTACTATGAGAAATCTGCTATCATCATTATTTTTGTTCCTATTTGCATATTATTTAAATTTTACATGTATATATTTAAAGATTTTCTCTTTATTACTGGTTTTGAGGAATTTGATTATGATATACCTTTTTGTTGTTCTTTTCATGTTTCTTTTGCTTATAGTTCATTGGGCTTCTTGAATCTGTGGGACTATACTTTTAATTAGCTTCATAAATTGTTGAGCTATTATTTTTTGTGTATTCTGCCCTCTCACTTCATTCTTTCAGAGAATTCAGTTTCATGTATGTTAGGCCACTTGACGTTGTCCTACATCTCACTACTATTCTTTTTAATTTTTAAGTTATTTTTTCCTTGTGCTGTTCATTTTGGATAGTTCCTACCATGAGGTATTTAAGTTCACTAATCTTTTCTTCTGAGATGTCTGATTTGTTGTGAATTCCAGAATATTTAATTCATCTTAGGCACTATTTTCACCCAGAAGTTTTATTTGGATTGTTTTAATAACTTTCATGTTTTCAAAGTTAACTTTTGGCACAAGTGAAATACAGTTATATAGTTTTAATATTCTCTACTCCTAATTCTAACATATGGTTGATTATCAACTTTGACAGTGAATTATATTTTTTGTAATTATGGTAAATATTTCATCCCTGTTTGCATAATTAGTTGTCTTTAATTATATGCTAGACATTGTGAGGTTATATATTGTTTGATAGTGGCTATTTGTATATTCCTACCACTATTCTTGAGATTTACTTTGGGATACAGTTAACATTATTTGGAGAAAGATCTTTTTGTGTATTGCTTTTAAGATTTGTTGACTTTTTCTTATTTTAATGAATTAGCTTATTACAATGAACTTTCCTCTTATCACTACCTTCATAGTGTCCCTGAGATTTTGATAAGTTGTATCAGAGTTCTCATTTACCTCTAAGAATTTTTTTAATCTCCTCCCTGATGTCTTCTGTTATCCATGCATCAGTGTATTGTTCAGTCTCCAGGTGTTGGAGTAGCTTCTCTTTTTAATTTTATCATAGATTTCTGTTCTATTAGGGTCAGAGAGAATGCAGGGTAGTATCTCTATTTTCTTGTATTTTCTAAGACTTGCTTTGTGGCATAACATATAGTCTATTTTGGAGAAGGATCTTGTGCTGCTAAGAAGAAAGTATATTCACTTGTTGATTGATGGAATACTCTATATATGTCTGTTAAGTCCAAATTATTGATTCTATTATTAAGTTCTATAGTTTCTTTGTTTAGTTTTTGTTTGGAAGATCTATTCAGTGGTGAGAGAGGTGTATTAAAGTCACTCAGTATTATTGTGTTGTGGTCTATTTGGTTTTTGTATTTGAGAAAGTTTTGTTTGACATACATAGATGTCCCATTGTTTGGGGCATAGATATTTATAATTGTTATGTCTTGTTGTTATATGAATCCTTTAAAGAGTAGGAAATGTCATTCTTTATCCCTTTTCACTAGCTTTGGTTTGAAGTCCGTTTTATCTGATATAAGCATGGAAACCCCTGTAGGAAATGTCATTCTTTATCCCTTTTCACTAGCTTTGGTTTGAAGTAAATTTTATCTGATATAAGCATGGAAACCCCTGCTTGTTTATGTGGTCCATGTGAGTGGTACTTTTTTCCCACCCTTTCACCTTCGGTCTGTGGATGTCTTTCCTGTGAGATGAGTCTCTTGAAGGCAACATGTTGTTGGGACTTTTTTAAAAAAAAATCCAATCTGTCAGTCTATGTCTTTAAAAAGATTTGTAACAATAACCAGCAAACATTTAGTCTAGGGCTGTTTGTTTCTCACCTTGAGACAAAACAATTCTGTGAACTCTATTAATGTCCCATGGATTATGAAGTTCTTAAATCTGTCTGGTGGTAACAAGCACTATTCTAAAGACCTTATGCCAGAGTCCCTTTAATCCCTCTGGATGGCTTTGGACTCAGTTTCTTCATATGCAGGTGTTGATCAATACTTGAGGAGGACCCTCTGCAGGTCTTAGGATTCTCTTTCTGCTCAGCATTTTCTTCGCTAGCACTCTCCTGCAGTTCCAGCCAACCTCAGACTCTTACTCCTCTCCCTGGGAGTACACAGAGTTTTGCAGAAGTTCTCCCTTTCTGTTTTGTGGCCTGGAAATTATCTTCAGCCAATATATCTAGGACAAGCATATGGCCACCTAGTTTATATTTTATTTCTCTGGAATCAGTGTCCCTTACTACCTGATGGCCAGTATCATGAAAACCATAATACATATACTATGTCATTTTGTTTTGTTTTTGTAATTTCAGTTTTTGTAATTTCTCTTAAATATGGTCTCTTCTTGACTAGAAGTAGAGTTAATTCTCTTACTCTCTTAATACTTTCTTTTTTAAGAAAATATTACTTTAAACTTGATGCTTTTTACTGATGATTTTTCTACTGTTTCTATTGGCAAGTGGCAATCCTTTCTTCTCAGATTGCAGAAGAGTGAGTAGAACATTTTAATCTTTATTTGGAGTGTCAAAAAAAGTTTGTTTGCAGTATAAAGTTATTGACAACACCAAAACTGTGATTTCACCACTGGAAAATGTTAAATATGTAAATTGGGATACATAATTACAATTTGTTTTTTTGGTAGTTTGGTGATATTTGTAAGAAATATATAATTTAAACCTAAGTTCTTGAGATTTCTCTTTTTTTTTTTAATTCTAAAAGGGCTTTGCCTTATGTTAATTTTATGCGAATAATTTTTGAGTGTTACTGAACTGATCATGTTCACAAATGTCTGACTTCTTATTCTTATTTTTCTTAGTTTCCAGAATGGAAAATTCCATTGATTTTTAGTGTAACAAATATCTGAAACTATAATAGCTCAATTCTGAGAAATTTTAATTCTGGCAAAAAAAAAAAACTTCAAATATTATAAAATTCTCTCTTTTAATTTATATATCTATCTTCTTTTAGAAAATTTATGTTAGAGTATTACATGCAATAATTTGCATTTGATTTTTTTCATTAACATGTTTTAAACATTTTTCTGAATTACCTTTTATATTTCTCCTTTTTTAAATTGCTGCAGACAGTTCCTGGTATGTATGTGTGTTATATGTTTATGACCAGTTCCTCTTGAAGTTTTAAGTAGAATTCTTTGTTCAACTAAAATGTCAGTATCAGCTTCATGTGTTTTATATTTGATATTAAATACCTTTAGTGCTTGTATTCTATTTATTGAATTTTTGGATCATTCTAGTTGGCATATTCAGATGATAATTTTGGGCTAAGGTAAAGCGTGGATGACTTGAAAAGTATACAAAAGCAGCCTCTGCAACAACATTCTTTGGCAAAGCCCAGCCCCAAACCAAGCCAGTAGGTCTTTTCAGAGTGAATGCATTGTATTAGAGGTCATGAGGTCGTGAGGTATCCTCATTCTTTCTGTAGATGTTTTAGAAAATGCCTAAATTTGTACTTGTCTGGTGGGATTTGGTAGTTTGGCCTAAGTGAAACAGGTTCTAGTTTGGTGACCACACAGTACAAAGATGTTCAGATTTATGTTTATGCATATGTGTAAACTTCAGGTTTGAAACTGACATTCATTCAGTGAAATCAGGCAGACTGTTTTCCAAAGCAAGGTCTAGGATCACCAAGAAATTTCTGATAATGTTTTACAATGGGTTTGATGAAAGGAACTCTGAGACAAACAAAAATAAGAATGAAAGGACATCACCTTTAAAATAATACAAATATGCCACACATTTAGAATTGTTTTCTATTAAAAGGTCAAGTGCTTTCTAAGATATTATCAGATTAAATGTCACTAGAGCCATGGAGAAAGTATTAGTGATGGCACTACAGGTATCAGTGGGCTCCCCTTTTCCTCCAGGAGAGAAATGACAAGTATTTATTGTGTAAATCCTTTAGGAAAGTTACTTAATATACATGTCTCCATAATCCTCAAAATAACAGAACGAGAACAGTATTGTTAGCCCTGAGATTCAGTGACATTAAGAGTATGAACATAGTTAGCAAGTGAGAAGGTCAGGGTTTGAATCCAGATGTATCTTTTCCAAAGTCCTATGCTTTTTCCTCTAGAAGGAAGATTTTTTCCCACTGTAGGATACTTGTGTATGTGTATGTGAGATCACACACGTGTGTATGGAGAGTTGCTCCAGAATTCTCAAGCATTTCCATACTCTAAGGTTAAAAAAAAACTAAACTATGCATAAAGTGAGGGAATATAAAATCAAAAAAATTAGTTGTAGATGGACACAATACCTTTGTTTTATTTATTTATATGTGGTGATGAGGATCACAACCTATGTCTCACCCATGCTAGGCAAGGGATCTACCATTGAGCCACAACCCCAGCCTGAGAATATAAATTTTAATATGAGCATGAGCCCACTACTTAGTACCCTCCACTATTCCATTTGCAAACATTAATGGAGATGGAGTCTGGCTAAGAATTTAATTTTTGACAATTTCAAGAATACCACATTTTATTGAGGTGATCCAAGATGGGGGGCTACAGTGAGGCTATATTCTGGGTGCTCTGGGACCTGGGATTTAAGTAGTGGGAATACTGTTTCTCTGTTTAGAGAACCCTTGACAGCTGCTCCTGTGCAGGAATCATGGCTACTATGCAACACAGGTCTCTAGGCCTTGGTGTCAGTTCAGGACTCCTGGCCACTTGTCCATTCAGGTCCTCCAGGTACCTGAGTAGGACTACTGGCATGAGCATCCGCTCAGGACTCCTGGCTGTCCACAGCACAGGAATCCCAGCCACTGCTCTCACCTGGGACACCTGGCCACAGCCCATGCTCAGGAACTCCAGCCACCACTTCCGTGTGGACCCCCATCTGCCAATGTGAGGCTCCTCCAGTTGCCTCCATCTTGGGGCACTGCAACCACTGCCACAGTCCACTACATACAGTAGCCTGCACCTGGGGCAATGCACTGGGTCTGGTGATAGCCACCAGTCATAATACTGCACACAACAGTATATCTCTGAACATGCTGCTCAAAACCACTGCCAGTCCCCACCTGAACTGACATCCCATTGCTGAAAGCAGTCACCTCCATCTTGGGACACCTTCATTGCCATCTTTAGTTGGGGCAACTCCCAGCTTGGAACACCAGCTGGAGCTTAGAAGTGATATCAAGGTACAGAAAGTCCTCAACTCCCCCCTGTCTTCAGCAGCCACTAACCAGGCACAGTGCAGCTACATGGCTGGTGGATAGCTTGAAAAACCAGGTCCTGGACTGCCCAATATAAAACAGCTCTCTCCAACAGGTGCACAGTTCCCAGAGGACAGACCACAAGACGTCTGGAAAGAAAGGTTCCTGATTGGGAAGTAGAAAGGGAGAGGGTGAGTGAGGCATAGTTCAGAGACTAAATTAGAGACTAAGAATTGTGAGGTCTACAGGTGATATAAGGAGATAAGACCAGGTGCCCACATCACACGAATTGGACCCAAAGGAGATCCTTGGGGTTCAATCTCCCATTGGGGACTGGCTGGTGCCATACCCTACTTTCAGGCACCTTGCACCCCAGACCAATCCTCCCACCCTAATAACCTTCACCATCCTAAAGGTGGAGATACCAGCAAACAACTAACAACCCCACCTATTGGATGAGAAGGAAAGATACTGATCTCTAACAAAAACAATCCTTGTATCTTCCTTCAAGATATTCTCTCTCTCTCTCTCTCTCTCTCTCTCTCTCTCTCTCTCCTCTTCTCTTGCCCTCACATCCCCCAACATTTGTGAAACCAAGTACTTTTCATGAATTAGGATACTGAGCACTGGGATGTCTGAATAGTATATTAGGTTGGTATTCTATATTCTTTTATCTCCTATTTTTACATTTCTACTTTTCTTAATATTTATGTTTGTTTGGTTTTTGGACTCTACTGTATTGCCACTTACTTGTCTCCCCCAAATCACTTTCTCTCTCTTCTCCTGCTAGATATTTAGATTCCTCTTTCACATTTTCTAAGATCTAATAACTCTATATCCTCACCTCCTACCTACTCAACATCTCATCCTACACCTCACCCCCAGTTCTTTGTCCACTATCAAAAGCTACAGACCCTTTTGCAAACATACTGTTCATATTATAGATAATAATTGAACTTACAATTTCTATATATTGTGACAAAACAGTGAACATCTTAATAGCAACTATTTGGCTTAAGGTTGTACATTGTTTGTATTGGGTTCTGTTCACATTGTTCTCCCCCTTAAAGGAGAAGATTGGAAACCTGCAGGGACACTATAAGCCTATAGGGTAAAAACTGTAATGCCTTGGATACTCAGTGCTAGAAGGGAAGAAACACAAATAACATGAAAAAGTGAAGAAAGTGCCCCCAACAAACCAAATCATTACATTATTAGAATCCATAGCCAGCACAACAGAAGAAATGACAAAGGAGTTGTTCAAGATTACATACTGAAAATGTTCTGTGAATTAAAAGATGATATAAGAGAGCAAATACAGGCAGCAAAAGGTCATTTTGATAAAGATTAGATAAGCAAATACAGGAAGCAAAAGTTTACTTCAATGAGAAGACAGAGATTCTGAAACAAACAAAAATCCTTGAAACGAAAGAAACAATAAACCAAATTAGCTTAATAGTAAGCATCACCAACAGATTATATCACTCAGAAGACAGGACCTCAGATAATGAAGACAAAATATATAATCTTAAAAAGAATGTTGAGCACATAGTGAAGATGTGAAACCATGAGCAGTATATTCACATATTATGGGATAACATAAAAAGACCAAATTTAAGAATTATTGGGATGGAGAAAGGCATAGAGTTCCAAACCAAAGGAATGAACAATCTATTCAATGATATAATATCATAAAGTTTTCCAAAAATGAAGAATAAATTGGAAAATCAAATACAAAAGGCTTACAGGACAACAAATGTAAAAAATCACAACAGATCCACACCAAATCACATTATAATGAAAATGCCTAACATACAGACTAAGGAGAGAATTCTAAAAGCCACAAGAGAAAGGAATCAGATAACATATAGGGAGAAACTGATTAGAATATGTGCAGACTTTTCAACCAAGACCCTGAAAGCTAGAAGGTCCTGGAACAATGTATATCAAGCTCTGAAAGAAAATAGATGTCAATCAAGAATCTTATATCCAGAAAAATTAAGCTTTATATTTGATGATAGAATAAAAATCTTCCATGATAAACAAAAGTTAAAAGAATTTACATTTAGAAAGCCTGCACTACAGAACATCCTCAGCAAAATATTCCAAGAGGATGAAATGAAAAACAACAATGAAAATCAGCAAAGGGAGGCATTACACTAAAGTAAAAACCAACCAAAGAAGAAACCAAGTCAAGTTAAATACCAAAATAAACAAATATGACCAGGATACAAGTCACATCTCAATAATAAACTTGAATGTTAATTTCCTAAACTGACCAATCAAAAGACATACACTGGCAGATTGGATTAAAAAAAAAAGACCCAACAATATGCTGCCTTCAAGAGACTCATCTCATAGGAAAAAACATCCACAGACTAAAGTTGAAAGATTGGGAAAAAACATACCACTCACGTGGATTTCTGAAACAAGCACCAGTTTCCATCCTCATATTAAATAAACTAGACTTCAAGCCAAAGTTAATCAAAAAGAATAAAGAAGGATATTTCATACTGCTTAAGGGAACCATGAATCAAAAGACATAACAATTATAAATATATATGCCCCAAACAATGGAGCATTTATGTTCATCAAACACTTCTCAAGTTCAAGAGTCAAATAGACCACAAGGCAATAATTCTGGGTGACTTTAATACACCTCCTTCACCACTAGATAGATATTCCAAATAAAAACTAAACAAAGAAACTATAGAACTCAATAATACAATCAATAACTTAGACTTAATGGACATATGTAGAATATTTCATCCATCAATGAGTGAATACACTTTCTTCTCAGCAGCACATGGGTCTTTCTGTAAAATACCTTGTATTATGCCACAAAGCAACTCTTAGCAAATACAGAAAGTAGAGATACTGCCCTGCATTCTATCAGATAATAATGAAATGAAGTTAGAAATCAATGATAAAATTAAAAAATAGAAGTTAGTCCAACACCTGAAAACTAAATAATATGCTATTGAATGAAAAATGGGTTGCAAAACACAACAATAAGAAGATCAAAAAAATCTTAGAGGTAAGTGAGAACACTGATGCAACATACTGAAATCTCTGGGACACTATGAAAACAGTACTAAGAGGAAAGTTCATTTCATGGAGCTCATTCCTTCAAAGAAGAAAAAGTCAATAAATAAATGACCTAACATTATATATCAAAGCCCTAGAAAAAGAAGAACAAATCAACACCAAAAGCAGCAGAAAACAGGAAATAATTAAAATCAGGGCTGAGATCAATGAAATGGAAACAAAAGAAACAATTGAAAAAATCGACAAAACAAAAAGTTGGTTCTTTGAAAAAAACAAATAAAATTGATAAATCCTTAGCCATGCTAATAAAGAGAAGGAGAGAGAAAACCCAAAATTGCTAACATATGTGATGAGAAAGGAAATATCAGGACAGACACTACAGAAATACAAAAGATAATTAAAATTATTTTGAAAATTTGTAGTATAATAAAATAGAAAATATCCAAATTTCTAGAGTCATATGATTTGCCCAAACTGAATCAGGATGATATACATAATTTAAACACATCAATTTCAAGCAATGAAATAGAAGATGCCATCAGAAGCCTACCAACCAAGTAAAGCCCATGACTGGATGGATACCACAGCTGAGTTCTACACGACCTTTAAAGAGGAACTAATACCAATACTCTTCAAACTCTTTAATGAAATAGAAAAAGAGGGAACACTTCTAAACTCATTCTATGAGGCCAATATCACCCTGATTCCAAAACCAGAGAAAGCCACATTTAAAAAGAAACCTTCAGACCAATGTCTCCAATGAACATAGATGAAAAACAATTCTCAATAAAATTCTGGCAAATCAAATACAGAATCATATCAAAAAGATAGTGCACCATGATCAAGTAGGGTTCATCCTAGGAATGAAAGTTTGGTTCAATATTCAGAAATCAATAAATGTAATTCATTACATCAATAGAATCAAAGATAAAAATCATATGATCATCTCAATAGATGCAGAGAAAGCATTTGACAAAATACAGCACTGCTTCATGTTCAAAACACTAGAAAAACTAGGGATAACACAAACATATTTCAACATTGTAAAAGCTATCTATGCTAAACCCCAGGGCAATATCATTCTAAATGGAGAAAAATTGAAAGCATTCTCTCTAAAAACTGGAATAAGACGGGGATGCCCTCTTTCACCACTATTTAACATAGTTCTTGAAACTTGAGCCAGAGAAATTAGATAGATGAAAGAAATTAAATGGATATGGGTAGAAAAAGAAGAATTCAAATTATCACCATTTGCCAACAATTTGATTCTATACCTAGAAAATCCAAAAAAAATTCCACCAGAAAACTTGTAGAATTAATAAATGAATTCAGCAAACTAGCAGGATATAAAATCAATGCCCATAAATCAAAGGCATTTCTGTACACCCAGTGACAAATCCTCTGAAAGAGAAACTAGTAAAATTACCCCATTTACAATATCCTCAAAAAAAAAAAAAAGGAAAGAAAAAACAACTTGGAAATCAAGTTAACAAAAGAGGTGAAAGATCCCTACGATGAAAATTATAGAACACTAAAGAAAGAAATTAAAGAAAACCTTAGAAGATGGAAAGATCTCCCTTGTTCTTGGATAGGCAGAATTAATATTGTCAAAATGACCATACTGCCAAAAGCGCTATACAGATTTAATGCAATTCCAATCAAAATCCCAATCAAAATGACATTCCTCGTAGAAATAGAAAAAACAGTAATGAAATTTATCTGTGAAAATAAGAGACCCAGAATAGCTAAAATAATCCTTAGCAAGAAGAGTGAAGCAGGTAGCATCACTATACCAGACATTAAACTATACTGTAGAGCAATAGTAACAAAAACGGCATGGTATTGGCACCAAAATAGACTTGTAGAACAATGGTACAGAATAGAGGACAAAGATAAAAGCCAACCTAAATACAGTTATCTTATATTAGACAAAGATGCCAAAAACATATATTGGAGAAAGGATGGCCTCTTCAACAAATTGTACTGGGAAAACTGGAAATCAATATGAACAAAATGAAATTAAGTCCCTATCTCTTACCATGCACAAAACTCAACTCAAGTTGATCAAGTACCTAGGAATTAAACCAGAGACCCTACACCTAATAGAAGAAAAATAGACCCAAATCTCCATCATGTTGGATTAGGCCCTAACTTCCTTAATAAGACTCCTATAGCTCAAGAAATAAAATCAAGAATCAAAAAATGGGATTGATTTAAACTCAGAAGGTTCTTCTCAGCAAAATAAACTATCAATAAAGTGAAAAGAGATCCTATATTTTGGGAGAAATTTTTTGCCACACCCATGTCAGATAGAGCACTAATCTCTAGGATGTATAAAGAACTAAAAAATCTTAACATCAAAAAAAAAAAATAAGGCAATTAATAAATGGCCCAAGCAACTGAACAGACACTTCTCAGAGAATGATATACAATCAATCAACAAATATATGAAAAAAAATGTTCAACATCATTAGCAATTAGAGAAAGGTAAATCAAATTCACTCTAAGATTTCATCTCACTCCAGTCAGAATGGCAGCTACTTTGAATACAAACAACAATAAGTATTGGTGAGGATATGGGGAGAAAGGCACACTCAGACATTGCTGGTGGGACTGCAAATTGGTACAACCAATCTGGAAAGCAGTATGGAGATTCCTTGGAAAACTTGGAATAGAACCACCATTTGACCCAGCTATCCCACTCCTTGGTCTATACTCAAAAGACTTAAAAACAGTATACTACAGTGATACAGCCACATCAATGTTTATAGCAGCACCATTCATAAACAAAAAAAAAGCTAAATTATGGAACCAACCTAGATGCCCTTCAGTAGATGAATGGATAAAGAAACTGTGGTATATATACACAATGGAATATTAGCATTAAAAGAGAATAAAATCATGGCATTTGTGGGTAAATGGATGGAGTTGAAGAATATTATGCTAAGTGAAGTAAGCCAATCCCCAAAAAACAAATGCCGAATATTTTCTCTGCTATGAGGATGCTCATCCACAATGAGGATGGTGTGGGGGGAGCATGGGAGGAGTGGAAGAACTTTAGATAGGGAAAAGGGGAGGCAGGGGAAGGAAGGGGGCAGTGGGGTAGGAAAGAAGGTGGAATGAGATGGACATGTATGAAGGAAGACATGAATGGTGTGACTCTAGTTTGTGCTAGGCATGAAAAATTGTGCTCTATATGTGTACTTTGAATTGAAATGTATTCTGCTGTCATATATGACTAATTGGAATAAATTAATAATTTTTTTTAAATGCCAAACAAAATAAAAGAAGAATACCACATTTTAAATCAGGTGTGATGGCACACACCTGTAATCCCTGTGACTCAGGAAGGTGAGGCAGGAGGATCCCAAGTTTGAGGCTAGCCTTAGCAACTAAATGAGGCTCTAAATAAAAAGGATTTGGGACATGGTTCAGTGGTAAAGCACCTCTGGGTTCCACTGAACCAAAAAACATCCCCAGTACCAAAAAAGAAAAAGAAAAAAAAAAAATCAAAAATTTGTGTTCTTTCTTTGGTTGTCACTGAGCCTGGGAAAAAGAAAAAGAAATTCTCATGAGAAAAAGGTAGGATGTGGCTGGAGGAGGTGGGTCACTGGGACCCTGCCTTTTTGGGTATATATTTTATCCCTGCCAAGTGGAGTTTCTCTCTATGCTTCCTGGCACCATGTTCCCAACTGCTTCCCTCTGCCATGATGTTCTTCCCCATCTTGAAGCCCCAGGAATGGAGCAGGCTGTTTATGGACTATGACCTCTGAAACTATGAGCCCCCAAATAGCTTTTATCCTCTAAAATTGTTCTTGTCAGGTCCTTTGGTTACAGCAGCAAAAAAGATGACCTCTTCCATCATTAAATGTTCTGTTAAATTATTCAATATAATATCTTGTGTTCATATGGGCAATAGGGGAGAAGATGAAGGCCATGGTGAGAGAAAAGAGTAAGGGTAGGCGATGGCAGCCAGAGAAGGCTAACAGGGAGCTGCCATCTTCAAAGAATGAATCAGGGGCAGCAGTTTAAAGGGAGAGGTCAAAGGATACTTCACTTTTGTTCCAGATTCCCATTCTATTCTGCTTTGAGAATCCACAGCAATATATTAGTACACTGGACTTCTCATAGCAATTGGGATGAAGACTAGAATCTAGAAGGAATTGGAGATTTTGGAAAGGAGGCTGGGAGACTTGGGGATGTTTGATTTCACTCACTTTCATACTCATTTGGCTTTCTTATTTTACTATCTGGGGTAGTTCTAATATGCCTCACAAAAGTATTTTTGAAGTCACCCAGAACATCTTCAAAGTAATAACTTATTCCTTATTAATAAGTTACCAAGCTTACCAACAGTGCCCTTATAAGAGATTGTTATGGTTCTATATTAGGTATACCCCAAAAGTCCATGTGTGAGACAATACAAGGTTTAGAGGAGAAATGATGGGGTTATGAGAGTCTTAACCCAATCAGTGAATTAATCCCCTACTGTGACTGACTGAGTGATAACTGAAGATGGGTACCATGTGGCTGGAAGAGGTAGGTCATTGTGATCGAATCTTTGGGGTATGTGTATTTGGTGAACTGTACTTAGTCTTTCTCTGTCTGCTTTCCAATCATCATGTGAGCAGCTTCCCTCTATCACATTCTTCTGTCATGATATTCTGCCTAACCATGAGCCCCAAGGAATAGAGCTGGCTGCCTATGGACTGAGACCTCTAAAACCACGAGTCTCTAAATAAACTTTTCTTCCTCTAAAATTGTTCTTGGTTGGGTCTTTTAGTCAGAGCTGCAAAAAAGCTGACTAAATCAGAGATCAAAACTCAGTGGCTTTCTCTTTTCACCACTTCTTTTTGCAGATGGTTGGAGAGACGTTTGTGCAGATGGGTAGGACTCCTTACAAATGGCTCTTTTACAAGGTGCTTCAAAGTCATATTCAGCATGTTGTAGATTTTAAACAACCTCATGCTAGTAAGACTGAGAAACTGAGGCACAAGAAAAGTAACGTACCAGAATATGGAGTGTATCTCTAGCAGCATGATGTAAAATAACTTGTAGCATTTGCTGGATTTTCTAAGCATCATTGTCATGGCCTTGTTTTTCTTTTGAATTTATTGATGAAAAAATGAACATAAGGAGATTAAAGAAAAAGTTCATTTTCCTCTTAGCAAATTTAAATAATCCAACCCCATTTTCAGGAATATTATTTTAAATACCTATTTTTATAATGAAATGCTCCAATTATCTATTTCTTTGAGCCTTCCTACATTAAGTTTGGGTATTAAAAAGTCTTAACTAGATAAGCATCTTTTCTTTTCGTGTGGTGGGATTCTCTCCTCTTCCTGAGAGCAAATAGATCTCATCATTGTTTTTCCTTAATAAAGACTCTGAAGGCTGTCATTTCTAATGCTCAGTTTAAGTGAGCTTTTCTCAATGCCTACAGTTTTAGTGCACAATACTTTTTATTGTTTTCCCAGCTTATCCAAATAAATTAGTGTGGCTGCTCACCTGGTCTACACACTCATTAGAAACCAAATTGGTAAAATGATTTGAATGTTTAGGTCCGTTTCCCTTTACTTACATAAGTCAAAGGTTCAATTCTTACAGAACCCTCACAAAAGGAGGCAGAGGTGCCAGGGCTAGGAGTGAGGTGAGATACCTTGATTTGAATCAGAGCACCACCTAATACTGTGTGAAAGTAAACATGATCCTTAATCTCTCTGAATAGGTTACCACCACATGTGGAAAACAGCAATAAAACAGCACATCCCATGTCAGGTTGTTGTGAGGATTAAACTTTAAGATTTAAAATTTAAGATTTCAAATAACATTTTAAAACCAAATCTAAGCAAAATTTATCCCATTGGCATTTAATATTTTTAACATTTTAATATTAAAAAACACTAAGAAGCAATTTAGTTTGATAGTTAACAATAAAATACCAACTACAATCATGTCTTTTGTCTCTCATGCAGGGGTGAGCAGTGTCATATCATCTTTGATGTTACCTACATTACCTCAATTGTTGTAGGAGATGGCTTCATTAAAACATTTTTGTATGTGTGTGACCTAAAAAGATACAAACAATAAACTATTATTGAAAGCACAAGTATATAGTTGTCTGTGTTCAGGCTGCTTTATCATAGGCTTAACAGACATTTGTTTCTCAGTTTTGGAGGCTGGGGGTCCAGGCTGCCAGTCCAAGGTGCTGGTGGCAGACACCAGGTTTAGTGAGAGCACTTTTCCCATGTGCAGAAGGCTGTCTTCTTTGACTTGTCTTGCACCCTCATATGGCAGAGAAATGGTGGGAAGGGAGAAAGCTCGCTCTGCTGTTTCTTTTTATAAGAGCACTAATTCCCTTTATAAGGGCTCCACTCTGATGGTCTAAATTACCTCCAGAAGGCACCATCTACTAATTCCACCACATTAGCATTTCAATATCTCAATTTTGGAGGACAAAACAGTCAATAACACTATTATAGACTCTATCATTCATAATTTTAGCAATACTAAGCATTTTTGAAATGTAAAAATCATCTTTATCCTTATTGCCAATCTTAGGAATTTTTATGCAATCTAATTAATTTTAAAATAATAACCAATAGGGTACTTTTGCCAGTATCTTTCCTTAACCCATTTCTGATACCTGCTTTGCCATAGTGAGTCTCCCTCTTTTTTACTGAGATCAAATCTCTAAATTGTAATCTTTAACTTTTAATGATTTTTAATCTCTAAAATATTTTGTTACCCTTACATGTGCTATTTCTCTATGTAGTCATTATACTTTTCTACTCTAACCATTCTCCTCTATGTACCTGTGAGGTAATGATAGGAAGAATTATTTCACAAATACAGGAAATGACTTGAGAAACTTTAAACATGATAAACCCCTAGAATCAGGATTGAGAAGAAATGGAGATACATTGTGGTGAAAGTTCCATCTATTCATACAGAGTAGCTTTCTCCTAGTATGTGGTAGACAGATTCTAGGGTAGTTCCATGGTTCTTAACTCTTGGTATACATCAAGAAAACCAAGTCTCTCCTCTTGGAGTATGAGCAGGACCCATGAATATGTTTCTAACCAACAGAATAGGGAAAAGTTGATGGGATATGTGTGATAACATTATATTGGGCTGTTATGACTGTCTTATGAGAAGACTCACTCTCTGATTTGCTCACTTTGAAGAAGCAAGCTACTCTGTTATAAGAAGTCCATATCACAGGAATCAGGAAACATAGGTCCTCAGTCTGGCAATCCACAACTACTGAAAATTGTTTATACCCATGTGAACAAGAAAATAGAACTTTTTTCTCTGAAACTTCAGATGAGACTAACCAGTCTGACACTTTAATTGTAGTATTTCAGAATACTCAGCTAAGATGTGCTTAGACTCCTTTTGACCCACAGAAACTGTGAAAGAATAAATGTGTTTTTTTAGGATAATGAGTTTGTGGTAATAGAAAATATATTAGTACATTTTCTGTTGCTATAATGAAATAGCTGAGGCTGGATTCTTCATAAATAAAATGAAAGAGGTTTATTTAGCTTACAGTTCTGCATGCTCAAGGCATGGTTCCAGCACTGACTTGGCTCTTGCCAGAGCTCCCTTTGCTATGTCACATGGTGGATATTACCTTGATAGAAGGGTACATGAAAGGTAGAGATCACATAGCAAGACAGGAAGCCAGAGAGCAATTCAGGGGTCAGGCTTACTCTTATTACAATGTTATAAAAACTCATTCAGGATCCTCATAGGAACTACCTCAATCTCTTCTGAGAGCAAAACCCCCTGTAACATAATCAGTTCTCACCAGGTCCCTTCTCTCAAAGCACACTACTTCTTAACTTGGTCATGTTGGGGACCAAACTGCTAACACATGGACCTTTGGTTCAATGAAACCAGATATAAACCATAGCAGAGCAGTAGATAAATAATACAGATATACGTACTGGGAATGGGTTGATACTATAACAAATACCTAAAAAGGTAGGAGTGATTGTAGAACTGCACAGTAGGTGGAGGCTGGCAAAATTTTGAGAGGCATAATATAAAAAGGTTAAATTGCCTACAACAGACTGTCAGTAGAATTCAGTACTTTAAGGTTGGAGATGAGGTTGGGAAGATATTATTGGAAACCGAAGAAAGGGGAATACTTGTTATATAGTGGCAGAAAGCCTAGCAAGCTTGCGTCCTATAATTAGGTGGAAACAAGAAATTATAAATGATATACTAAATTAACTAGCTGAGGATATTTTCAAGGTAGATATTTAATATGCTGCTTGATTTTCCCCCCTCCTGTTCATGTTTAAGATGAGATAAATTGGGAGTAAAATTTCTTAACAAATACAGTCTAGGGCTTAATGTCTTAGGAAACGCTGAGCCTCTCCAGAGGTAAAAGACACTAAATTTGAGAAATGACCCCAATCCTATCACAAATAAAAGCTGTGGAGGAAAATATGAGGGTGTGACTGTATATTTTATTAAACACTTCCAAAATATGAAAGGAGTGAAGTAGAGCTCAGTTGCACAAAGTGCCCTTTCAATAGGTCAAGGTCATGCCTCAAAGTTTTTAAAATCAAATTATAGACCCTGTAGGAATGATATATACATTATACTTTTGTATAGTGGAATTAACCTTAGTGAAATTCACAGGAAACCCACAGCGTATTTATGTTTTAGTAGAAACCATGGTAACATAGACTGAATGGAGCAGAGAGAGTAAATAATGAAAGAAGTTGCTGGATTCCCCAAATTTTACAGGAAGGATGCAGTTGTTAAAAGCACTCAGCTGAAAAACATGTGCTACTTTACACACACACACATACATAAAGGACAACTCATAGGGGAGAACAAGAACCCAGAGGGCACAGCTGAGAGCTAAGAAAACTTATCATAGACTTTGAGACCTAGATAGAGAACTCTCATCATTTGTCAGATTGAATTTCAGAATTTCTATGGACCAGTGACTTCTTTGTCCCTTAGAGTTCTACCTTTTTGAGTAGAAACATCTATATGTTTATTATTTTATATTTTTATGCTGTACAGGAGAGGCTCAGACCCTGGGAAACAGATTTGGGATCCCAGGCAGGTGAAGGAAGGTGCTAGGTGGAGCTGGAATAGTAGACATTCTTTATTCAGAGGTGATGGCAGCCCACAGCCTCCAGATCTAGCCCCATTTAACCCCCTGAGCCATTTCCATAGGCCTTTTTTATATACAGGCCAAAGAAGGCACATTACCAATAGATTACATAAGTGGGTGTATTCTCACAAGCAGATGTTTATGACCTTGGGTACATATGCTGAATTAGGGTGTTCATGACACTGGCTTCATACTAAAAGCAGAGCCTGCTGGGAACTTTGGTAAAGGAACCTAATTATAAACGTTTTGGGCCAGCCTGCTTTACAATGCACCCCTTTAGGATTCCTTACCAATCTATGCTTCTGAAGTCTTCTCCAGTGATCCCTTGGTGAGGAGGGCAGAGTCCTGCGTCTACAGGCCACAATAACTATAAGCTGTAACAACATACAACCAAAAGACAAGACCCATCTCTTTGGATTACTAAAAACCATCACCAGTTTAATCCCATATTGAGGTGGCAATAAAAGTCTTTCCCAGCCATTTCCAATTGTCCAAGGACATAATTTGGATGCACCAGGATAGTCTGGCAGAGGAACTCCCAGGCACTTCATTCAGTGCATAGTCAGTAGGCAGAAGTGTTTGCTGCTCTGGCATTGGTGTGTGCTCAGTTCACAATGGCATTGGCAAGGACATACCTATAGATGCTATAGATGAAAGGACAAAGCCAGCTGTTACAGGGACTAGTTCAGGTAAAACACGCCCATCCGGGACAGGACATGTCAGCTTTGAGTCCAGGGAAAGCACAGTGGCCTCTTGTGGTCACTTCCCTGGGCAGTGATAAAGTGCTCATATAACTAGGTCCTGAAATTCAGCAGGCTCTGTGTGTACCGGGACCAGGTGCTGGAAGCCATCTGTGAACAATACATGAACCAAATTGGCATGGAAGCCACTGGGTAGAAAAGTCTGGTATCTGGGAACACACAGTGGCACTCCTGCTGGTTTGAGATTGCCCAGAACACGTGATACTCTACCTAGCTTTGCTACGTTCAGAGTTGGGGTGATCTGCTGGAGCCACGTAGACACATACCCTCTCAGAAATGGGTGTGGCTTGCCAAGATGCCAATCAACTTGTTGACTTCAAGACACCAAGAAAGCAAGACTCCACCCACTGAAAGCTTATCCCTGCCTTTGATGTACTCTCCCTTAAAGAACCCACTGCCATTTTCTAGTCCTTTGATTCCATTTCCTACCAGGGCTAGGACCTATCAGGCGCTGTGCTTTTTAAAACTAATTTCTGGTACTGTCTCTTAATTCTTCACTAATTATTTCAGACTTTCATTTTCTCAGGTGGCTCATCACCTCCTCAGCAGAAAACTACCCTGGCAGTGCGCTGGCAGCCCCACAATAACCAGGAACTAATAATTGGCCACAGAAAAATAACAAATGTGTCCTTTAAAATCTGTGTTCCATCTGTAGAACCCAGCCAAGTCACATGTACCCCCAAGGGCCACTCATTAGTAAACCATGGTGTCACAAGGAAATCACACTCCAAACCCTTTCCCCATGGGGCTAATACAGGGTCATCCATAACAAAAGTCAGGGGGCTTTTATTGTTCAAGGTCATGTCCAATCCACAGTTTGCCCCAGATTCAATCCAGGGGAGCAGGTAAAAGAACATTGCCTTGCTTACAAAACCCAGACTGAAGTACAACATCCTTTGTCGTCACCTGCACCTGTATTGGGGCTGCTTTGTGGTACAGCAAAGCTTCCATAGGAGCTGGACACCCTAGTTGGGGATGCTCATTCAGAGTTCTCATGACTGCCTACAAGCACTGTGCCCACCCCTTTAGAGAAGGTGGCTTGACTGCAGTCCTAAGTCCTTGCTTAAGCAGGGCATTATACTTTTCTATCACGTCTAGAGCCTATGGGTGACATGGGACATGCAGCTTCCACTGAATCTGTAATTGAGTTGCCCATTGCTGCACATCCTGACCTGTGAAATGAGTACATTGATCACTCTGTATTATGACGGGCTGGCTGTATAAGGCTGTCAACATGGTCAGGGCACAAATCGTCGTACGCTGATTTTCTTAACGACTGGGTCAGGCAAACTGTGGACATATCAACTCCCATCAAGGCAAATATGGTCCCCTCTGAATTCAGTAAAGAGTCAATATAGTTAACCTGCCATTGTATCAAGGGGACATGTCCACCTGGCTATTTGTGGCTCAAGTCATCTGGGATGTGGAGATACCTGAGGATAAACCCCACCTATCTGGTATGCCTCTACCAGGACACTCCAGGTGAAAGGTAGACCCCATTGTTTGACTACATTCCACATAGTTTTCACACCTGCATACTGTAGGTAGAGATGTAACTAAGCTGACAGATTGGTGGGACGTACCCACCCTAACCATTCCACCCTTTTCAAAGAATCTGTTTCATCATTCCCTGGGCTAGTCAGGTGGGCACAGACAATAACATGAACTATAGTCTCCTATTCCTGGTGGCCTAGCTCCCAGAGCTCTTGCCACAGAATCTGTTTCCAATACACAGCACAACTGTCAGTACATATCACTGTAAGTGATGCTTCATTTGCTACTATCATCCAACTCAGCTCACTAGCTACTTTGTCTTGCATTAGTATCAAACCAGACAGTACCTGTTTCTGACTCCATAGCACTGCCACCTACACAGGCAGTTGCCATGGCTGGAGTCATCAGTGTACCAAGCACTGGACAGTATAGGTGCTTTCCCTCCAAAATGTGGACTTGTTTCTGGTTCACCTACTTGGGCAACAGATCCTATCCTTTCTTAAAGTCTCTTGTCCCTGCTATCTCCCAGAATATCTAAATCTCTCAGGTATAACAACAAAGTGACCAGAGGATCTCTGAGCCTCTGTCCCAAGTTAGTTTCCCAAGTCCACCAACTCTGCTTGACAGGCAGATCTTGATGAACTTTGTTACCTGGGCTGGCCCTACTGGTGGCTGCCCATTGGAACCATCAGCTGCTATTTCATCTACTGTATTACCACTGGCTGGGCTTGCAGGTCTTACTCCTCCTTGAACTTGAACAGCACTATGGGGGAAGCCAAAGAGTTTTCTCAAGGTATGGAGATCTTCCTCCAGCGACCATACTCTTCCTTATTTTGCAACTCCTTCATCTTGGCACTCTCTTGCAAAGCTGCATCAGTTTTTGCTCTTAGAGTTGTAAGAAACACTCATTCTATGGCCCCAACGGCCATACAATGTGGCTCCTTATGCCGTTTCTCTCTCTCATCTGCACCACCATTGCCATCTTTCACTTGGGCTACAGGCCAGTGCCTGGCTTATGCCATACCATTCGCAGTCCACCCTGCTGGGTTCATGTTTGTTTGCAGAGCATCAGAAGTTTAACTCACTTGCCCCATTGCCTTCTGAGTGACACCATTTTGCCAGTGGCAGCTAACTGCCTTCTTTATGCTCATGGGGACCCATCCACCATATCCCAACTCTCCACAAGAATCCATGATAATAGGACCTTGGCAACTGAGTGCTACATACTGCTCAGTGGCCACAGGTCCTTTCTGTCTTCCAGGGTTAATGTATCTCTCCTCTGCAGAATATCCTGTCAACTATGCCAGTTGTCAAGTGGAAGAATATGCAAGACACAGTTGGGATAGTAGACCTCTTTATTCAGAGGTGGTGACATCCCTCAGCCTCTAGCTCCAGCCCCAATTAACACCCTGAACCATTTCTATAGGCCTTTTTTACATGCAGGCCAGACAAAGAAGGGACATTACCAATAGGTTATGTAAGTGGGCACATGCTCACAAGCAAATGTTTATGTCCTTGAGTCCTTATGCTGAATAAGTGTGTTCATGACCTTGGCTACATACTGAAAACAGCCCACCAGAAGCCTCAGTGAGGGAACCTAACTATAGCCATTGTGGACCAGCCTGCCCAACACATGCCTGTTCAATCACTGTATGTTGGGTGTGAGGGGCAGATAAATTCTTTATTGTATCGATTAGTAGATAACTCAGAGAGCTTTCATCAGTCCCTGGACTTGATTTAGATAATGAGATCTCTGAATTTGTGTAGATGCTGTAATGGGGACCTTTAGAGGTGGTGAGCATATTTTGTATAAGGGAAGATGACTCCCTGAGGGTCAGAATGTGGACTGTTGCAGACAGAGTGTGAGGTGTCCTTATGATCCCCTTCTCTCAGTAGTTAAGCCTTTATGTAGCTACTTCCTTTTGAATGTGGGGAGCTGCGACTTGATTCTAATCAAAAGAATAGGGCAAAAGTGCTGGATACATGTGATCCCATGAATACTTACATTATATAAGATTGTAATCTTATCTTGTGAGAAGAGTCTCCTCTGCTGGCTTTGAAAACGCAACCTGACATGTGGTAAGGTGTCCATGAAAAGGGCCACATGCAAGAAATTGAGGACAGCCTCTGGCAAACAGTTGACTGGAAACTGAAGCCCTCCGTCCGGCACTTGCAAGGAATCAAACACTAAATACTTCCAAAAATGAGTGACAAATAGATGTTTTCCTATTAGAAAAAATTTTAGTGCATTATAGTTATACACAATAGTGGAGTTCATTTTGACATATTCATAATTTCATATAACATAGTTTTCTCCAATTTAATTCCCAGTATTTCCCCTTTCCCTCCCCACCTCCCTTCTCCTGATCCCCTTCCTCTACTCCTTTGGTCTTTCTTATATTTGTTTACTTTTTAGTTTCTATATAAAATTGGAATGCATTGCAATATATTCACACATGAACATAGCATATTTTTTCAACCTCATTTCCCTTGTGGAGAATGAAGGTCTTTCTCCACTTGAACCTCAGATGAGAGTACGCCCTTGTTGACACCTTATTTGCAGCCTTACAGAAGACCTAGCTAAGCAGTGTTCAGAATCCTGACCCACAGACATTGTGAATTGATAAATGTATATTTTTTAAGGTACTAAGTTTGGGTTAATCTTGTTGCCTGGCAGTAGATAATTAATGCATAAAATGTACTACACTGCAAGTTCCATGACTGCAAATAATTTTGTCACATACCTAGAAATGTTTGAAACATGTAGGCGTTCAGTAAATATTTATAGGAAAAGAAGGAAGGAAAGGAGGGAAAAAAGACCAGCCACTGGAATACCAGTATGGTGTGGTACTCATACTATTGATGTGTGATGCGACAGGTTGTGTATAAGGTTGTGCTGGTAAGTTTTTTTCTGGATTTTTTTGTATAGGTGTCAAACTTATATGGTTATTTATATGCTACATTAAGAGGTTTGCATGTACGTTTCTGGGGCAGTTTGATATTTCAAAGGTAAAAGAAAATGATGGGGCTATTTCTTGAGATGGGACTGCTATAACTCAATCTTATGACATTAGGATATAGAACAGTACTGGCACATTGTGGTGGTGATGCCCATGTGCATTTCATTGTACTCAACCAAGTGTGTGACTCAAGACAACCAATGAACTGCCCTGGGGGACAGTGCTGAGGACTCTCTGTGCATATGTAAGTGGAAATAAGGTCAGCTGTCCCCTTTTATATTTTCAAGTATTAGATATTGCCTATTTTATCAAGTAGCTTTATTGGTATATAATTTACATACTATATATTTTCTCATTTTGAGTGCATAATTTAATAGTTTTAAAAATAAATTTATAGACTGAAGCAACCATCACTGCAATTCAGCATTAGGATATTTCCAACATCCCATGTGCCTTCTTGTCATACCTCCTCATTCTCACCCCTGCTCTAGACAACCATTCACTAGTTTACTTGCTGTCTTATAGATTTGCCTTTTCTGGACATTTCCTGTATATGGAAACACAGAGTATGTAGTCTTTTGTGTATGACTATTTTTCAATCAGCCTAATATTTTCTAAGTTCATGTTTGTAGCACAAGTCAGTGCTTTATTCCTTTTTATTGATGAATAATGCACCATCATATGGATGCATTACATTTTATTTAGCCATTATAAATTGATGAACATTTGGATTCTTCCAACTTTTTGTTTAATAAAAATAATGCTGCCATAAACATGGCACATATCACCAACAGTCTTTATGTGGACACATTTTCATTTCTCTTGGTTAAATTTCAAAGGATAGAATATTATTACTATATATTACTGGGTTATATATATATATATATATATATATATATATATATATTACTAGGTTATATGATACATGCAAATTAAGTTTTGTCACAATATCTTTAGGATAATATTAAAAAAGCTTTCAGGGAGTAACAATGCTCTTTATAAACAGCATTTATTAAAGCTTATTTACCTGATTAGTGTATTTAAAGAAAAAAGTAGAAGACATGCTGCTTATTTTTTACAATATGAAAAAATAAAAATATTTTAAAAGCATACTTTTAAGTTGAAGGGAAACATAGTAGTAACTATTAGCCCATTACTAATGAAGAGTGCAACTATGGATATTAATTTAGAAAACTTATTGTCATGCAACATTATTTACTTAAAGGACTACTTGAAATTATATTGAATGAAATTAATTTTTACAGATTTACATTGTATAAATCCAAGTATCACACATCTCAAAGAATACAAGCCATTTGATAAACTTATCTATGTAATACCTCTAAGTTTAGAAACAAAGCTAATTAGTATAAATTTGTATACAAATAAGGAATTTATATCTATTATTTTAAATGAGAAACTGTGCTCAGATAAAATCCATTGCTTCTATGATAATGAACTCTGAGTGTCTTACCATATTGATTGGCCAGGTGAAAAGAAGTTCATTGATGCAAATGAGAATCATGAGAGCAATCAGTCTCCCAGGAGCAAATATTCCTACAGGATTTATATGATTAATAAAGTTCTTTAGGAAGTAAATATCTGAAATATTAAAGTAATATTACAAATGTTTGGAATGTCTTATTTATATGATTCTTTTTTCTTATTTTAATACTAATTTCCTTATTTTGGAATTCCAGAACAAAAAGACACTTAGTGAAGATTAAAAGTGTAGTTTGAAGGATAAATATGAAAAAGAAAGTAATATATCTATTTAGCTTGTTGTCTTCATAAGTTGGAATAGACTTAAAATGTAACATGATTTAAGATGGATTGGGGAAGATAATGACTGATCCGTGGTGGGTCTGAGGGAAGGTACATAGGTTGCTGTATACCAGCCCAACGCCTTCGATTGGATACATGGTGAGCAGCCATATTATCTCTAGAGCTTTCTTCTAGTTCTCTTGCCAAAGATACAATGTTGCGCTGCAGAAGGCAGGGTACAACTCAGCGGGACGTTTCTTATGTTCTAAGCTTAGGGTATGAAAGGCTGGGCTATTCAACAGGCCAAAAGTAAGTGGGTCACAATTCTCTACAATACCAAGCTATTTAAAAAGCCACCTGTTTTTTTTTTTCAATGTCCAGGTGTTATATACACATTTTTCAATGGTAAGAAAACTTAATAAAAAAAAAAAAACATCATGCACACATAATAGCTTACTTGAGTGTCTAAACTAGGACATTAAATTTGGGGAATTTGTAAGTCAACTTCAGCATGAAAAATGAAGAGACAAAACAAGGTAGCTAATGCTTTTGGAGTGTTTCCCCTGTGCTAGGCACTATTTTAATTGCTTCATCTGTATAAATACATGTAATCTTTACAACAATCCTATAATGTAGGTAGTTATGGATGTTTCCATTTATTAGAGGAGGAAGCTAAGACACAGGGAGCCAGGTAAAGAAGCCAAGTTCACTTAGCTGGAAAGTGGTTAGGTCAAGACATGAACTCAGGCAGTCTGGCTCCAGAGCCTGTGTTCTGCACCAATTGCCATATCTTCCTCTTTAATAGTCCTGCAGAGAAAGAGATTATGGGACGTGAGATAGACCTATGTGATTACTGCTTTGTTCTCTAAAATATCTACTAAAATATCTAATATTTTCCCTCTTCAAATTGAGAATTTGTAATCATTTGAAAAATAATGAAATTAATACTTAATAATTATAATTAGAAAAAACTGTTTTGAAAGCAGAAACCACTTTTCGGTTTAGTATATCCCGACAAAAAAATGCTTTTTAGAGTAATGATTATTATTCTTTCTAAAGCTGATTCTATCTCAGGGTTTGTGTTAGTGAATGTGTCATGGGCAAATTTTTGTATGTTCTCACTCTGACTTAGGAGTTCACAGTGCATTTGAATTCTTGTGTCCTGGGCAATGTCAGAATTGGATCAAATAGTTATTCCTAAGATAAAATGTAATGAGGAAAACAAAAGTTATCATATTTAGACAAAATGACATTTTAAAAGTTCATCTTTTTTTCATTCTCATTCCTTTGTATTTCATTTGTTTTAGATATACATGACAGAGTGCATTTTGACATAATATACATACATGGAGTACAACTTCCCATTGTTGTGGTTGTACATGATGTGGAAGAGTTCATTTTAAATTAAATATGTTTATATTCATGCTTAGATATTTCTATGATGAGATTTTGATAGAAGGAGCACTACTGTATAAAATATCATAATATATGTCCTTCAGAAAATCCACATGAGATAGAAATCTAGTACTTGATATCACAAAGGTGACAAGATGTTGCCTGGCTGAATGGAAGAATAGCTCCAGGGAGGGGCATGAATCACTTCTGAGATGTGAGTTTATAAACCTCAGAGCACAGCTAGTGCCAGCTGTTGCTTTAATAAGTCTAAGTTAATATGTAAAATGAAATTGCTGTTGGGAGAAATTTTAAATTTTTTTCAGTAAACAAATTGTTTTCAAACATTCTTAAACTGCAGAAAAAAGCAACTACTCACCTGCCAAGACTTGATATGTGAATTTTAGATAATTCTTTTCTTTTACTAACCTCATAAGAACCACTATTATGGAGGTCTTTGATTAGTTTGATTTGTCTGAGTCACTTGCAATTTTTTTCTAAAGATTGTCTTTCTCTGAAAATGTCCTGTCACTTAACATTTCCATTCTTTTGGCTGTTCTGTCCTTGGTTACTTCAAGGGGTTTCTCTGAAGTACTGTTCTAATTTATAATGTATGCGTTTTCTATTCTTATGTGTAATTCTGTGAAAATAAAGCAATTGTTCAGTGGTTCATAATATGAATGCAAAAATATGTCCCCACTGAAGCATTGACATAACTTAATGTACATTCAATGAGATTAAAGCGGCCAATAAGGAATATCATTCTTATTTACATTTTGAAAATGATGGTAATGAAGGGCCTTGCTACCTGTTTTATAAATGCAAGCTGCATGCTGATTTAAGCTTTTAAAAATTCTATGAACAGCACAAGCTACTCAATTTTAACTTCTCATTGCTGGGTTCAAGTTCTTATTGCTGAATTCAAGCTTCTTTGGTTAGGGAGAGAATAAAAATAAATACCATAAAGAAAAAAATATAATAATCTAATTTTTCCTGAACTCTCTATAACATGGATCATTAATCTACATCAATATATGGTGAAGATATGTAAGTAGAAAATACAAAGTGTGAATTATGTGCATATCAAGGTAAAGTCTGTGATAATATTTATTTTAAATTCCATAGATCCATTCACTCTTTTGGTTTTATAATTTGTTTGTTTTGTCACTGCCTCTATGATTCTACTTATTTATTTCAAGTTTTAAAATATATATTTCTCCTTTGAGTAAATGTAGGCAACTGATATTGGGATAGAGTTTGAATTATGAGAAATACATAATGATGCTAAAGGAAATACATAAAACTAATGCGGACCAACTTAAATATGATTAGAGTTTAGTGTTAAATAAGCTAAGATGTCTAAGAAAGAGCTGATGGGCTATGAATTAAATTTTGGCTTGTATTCATCATATCTCAGAAATCAACTTTAGACATAAGATTTCAATACATTTTTATGTAAAACTAAAAATAGAGTTATATAATATTTGGTATAATAAAGATACATGTCTTCTCATCTCTTGAGACAACCATCTTGATGGAAAACTCCCCATTTTTACTTATAAGTATGAATAAGTTCACATATAAAGACCAACTATCATTTATTATATACAAAACAGAGAATTCCTTCTTTGACATTTTTTTTGTTTGGATTTACACAACTAGAGATGACATTTATGAGAAATGAAGTGCACTGAATTCACCTGAGATAGTAAGACTCTATATCTCCATTAACTTGTGAGAGATTTCATCATTCCAAACCTTCTCTGGACAGCCAAGTTATCTTCACTTTCTCTGAACTGACAGGCTCTATGACAATTAATCATGCACTGAGTTAACACATAGTCTGTGTGTTTCAGTGGAGAGGTACTGTCATTGTGGGTCCTTGAGAAACATATTCAGAGGCTATGAGATTTACATGAAGAAGAAAGTTTATTGGGGAATACTTTTGTGAGGAAATGCAAGGAAAACAGGAAGAAGTTGAACCATGATGTAGACCCAACAGAATCCTCACCAGTCCCTCAGGGAGGGAGCCTGACCTGGGCTGAAACAGCTCTCTTTGCCCAAGGGCAATTCCCAAGGAGGGACCAAGGTCAAATACCACTGGCTGCCCAAGCTTTTGGCAGTTGATCAAAAGAAAAAAGAAAAAAAAAAAAGAGAGAATCCCGGTCCTGAAGTAGGGAACTGGGAGGTGCACTTACAGCATCCTACAAGAGGTAATGTAATGAGGGTTAATAGCACAGCCTCCAGAGTCAGATGGGCTGATTTAAACTTGTTGTTTTCTAAATTCTGGCTATGTAACCTTGGCAAGGTATTTAACCTCTCTGTCCCTGTGAAGTGGGAATAAGAATACTGTAGGTAGTCTTATTGAATTATTGTGAAAAATGGTTAACGCATGTAAAGTATATGTCTGTTCTTGGAATCTGGTGATCACTCAGTAATAGCTATTATTATTAGAGTTTGTTGCAAAATAGTGAAACTATCTTTTAGACTAACTCATATGAATATTTTTTCCTATATAGGTCAGGAGAGGCTAATAACAAATTACCCTCAATTTCTAGTTGCTTAAAACAACAAGAAATCATTTCTTGGGCATGGCACATAAATATCATGTGCTGACTAGTATTTTACTAATTTGAGGACCTAAGCTGGCAGAACAGTCACTTGCTATTTCCAGTTACTGCTGCTGCCATGACAGAGAAAAAAAATAGCATTTGAAATCCATGCTGATTCAAATACTTTCACTTCAGAGTGACATGCCATTTTTACCCACATTTTATTAGTTAAAATAAATCACAGGGGTAAGCTCTTCCCAAGAATGGTCAGGGAAGTGTGATCCTACCTTTTTCCTGGAAGGAATATCAGAAGTACTTCATGACTAATTCAGTTTTAATTTTTTAATTTTGTGTATCCTGGGAGAATATACACTTGATGATGAAAGCTAACTTTTCTTGAGCACTTATTATGTGACAGGTAACACATAAAGAACAATACTATGAAATCCTATTACTATCCCAATGCCACATATTATATCGGCTCTACTTCAGGCCTGATTGCAAAGCTTTTACTCATAACTACTCCTAAGAACTTCAGTGATAGTGGCATGACTCAAAATATTTTCAACATACCCTCTATTTTTATTTTTTTTTAGGAATTGCTTTTAGATTCTATAATTTGAAGGGACATAACTTTCCAAATGTATAAAGTAGAAACTTCTTTCTTGTTCCAGTGATAGTATGCGATGTCAAATAGGTCTAAGTAGAGAGACTCATTTCCATTAGGTAACTTAGATGGATGGAGACTCTACCTTCTTCAGCACAAAGCATCCACGGGTTGTCTTTCTTCCAGAAAGCCAGAAGGATCCCCATGGTCCAGGCCTGGAAGTGATGTACATAACTTCTGCTTATACTCTGTATGCTAGAAACTCAGTCCTAGAGCCACATCTAGCTACAAGGAAGGATGGGAAATGTGGTTTAGCTGTGTGTCTAGTGAGTCTGACCCATGACACAGGGACTGTGCTTTCTATTTCCATGAATTGAAGAGACTTTAAAATCAGTAATTACACTTAGTTGGGAATTATCCCCAAAGTAGCTCACTGTTTGCCATGCATACCTTCCTCATGTAGTCCTCCGGAGCAGTGCCTTCAATCACTGTGTGAGACTGCAATTTCCTCTTTAGCATTAATGTAGAATGACATGGAGGGCAGTCTGGTAATAAGCAATAAACGAAGTTGCAGTGTGACCTGGAGGAGGTTTTCACACACTTCTGGGGCATCATACCTCCAGAAAGCTCTGAGGTTTGGTAGAAGAGCAACAGCTCCCGACTTATCTTCCAGATTGTGCCTCACAGGGCATGGAGCGAGGCTGTGGACTGTTGCACTGAAAGAGAATCTTGAAAGCTATTGTAGTTCATTGGGAGGCTTGATTAACTTTCTAGAAGCTTCTTCCTTTAGGCTGAATTGAATTGTCTGCACCCATGAAAATGACAGGGTTAATAGGATTGTTCAGATTGGGTTCTCTATCATACCATGATTCTAGTCGGGCTATCCTTTCTGGGAACATGAGGGGTCTGGTCCAGTAACACACATTATTTTTAAAAATTTAAATGCTTTCAAAGATATTATGTTATTTTGATTTTGTCCAGTAGGGAGGTCAGGGTGTATGTTTTTCTTACTATACTTTATATTTTTAGCGTAGTCCAGGGTTTTAATATTTTGTTACATGGAATATAGACCACAATAGCTCAAATATTAACTAGATACCTGTATTATCATTTGGTAGGGAAAAATCTAGCTGAGCAATCATATATGTTTTTTCCCAAATCATGTAATAACTTGCCCAAACTTGAAGGATATTCTACTGATTTGTCTTTCATTGTTCTTTTCATAACCACCTCTGTGTTTATCACATTCCTTTGAATGTACTCAAAAGTAGCAAATGTTCATATTTTGAGGATAAATTCTAGTTTTGGAAATAACCACAAATAGTCCAATATTAAACATGTTGAATAAAGTTAGATAAACTATTTTGGATAAAAAATGAAGTATATCTATAAACTAGAACTATTTTTGAGGCTTCTAGGTGATCACGTTATACACAGCCCTAAAATATTTGCCAGTTTGAGAAAAATGCACAAATATTTTAAAATGCACATCTCAACTACATAACCATGTGACTTACCTATGTTAAGATCAGAACCAGATTCAAGGAAATTGAAAACAGAAACTAGCTGTGACCAAATTGTGTAGAGTGCAAACCATGGCCAGGTTTAAAAGCTGAACTTTTGTTTTCAGTGATTCTTAGTGAAATCTAGCATGCAGAACTTGGTTTGTGATTTGGCCTCTAAGGGGAGTTATTAATAATGATAGAGGGTGAATGGGCAGTTCTTCATATCTACTATGTGTTATGTGATTTATTTCATTTAATTCTCAGAACTCTCTATGAAACAGATAATATTTCTCTTTTAAAGATGAAGGAAAGGCTCATGGTTTCCAGTAATGGATCAAAGGTCACCCAGCCAGAATCCTATAGCCACAGTAGGAGGCAGAGCTAGAATTAGAATCCAAGTCTATCTGTTTCAAAGTCAAGGTCTTTTGTCTAAAGAATACTGTTTCCTTTTCAAAGGGACAAGAAAGGATAGAAGTGGAGGTGAAGTAGGTTAAATGGTGGTTTCATTCACGAAGGGTTGTTCTGAGGGTCCAGTCATTACAAAGAAGGAAAGAATAAGGATTGAAAAGGATGGTGTAAAATGTTCCCTTTTGCAGATTGTTCACATAGCAAATATGCAAGAATTTCCAAATCATCTCTGAGAACCAACCAGCGAATTTAGCAAGGGCATAGGAAACAGGATAATTATACACACACATATGTGTGTGTGTGTGTATGTGTGTGTGTGTGTGTGTATAACATGTTACACACATTTACAATATATATATCAAATATATATATCAAATATATATAGTTTGAGATTGTTCATTTATGTAAAAACAGTAAAAATTTGAAAGTACATTTAAAAAAAATAAATCCCATTCATAAGAACACTCAAAATTTGAAATGTCTATGAATAGTTTAATAAAAAAGGTTTAATACCACTACATTGAAAACTGTAAAACAATTTCAGAGAGAAAAACAAAGGAGACATAGGTAAACGTTCATGAATTAAAAGACTTGATATTGTTAAAATGGCAATTTTCTCTTAGTTGGTCTATAAAATCAATGTTATCCAGATAAAAACTTGAGCAGACAATATTATAGAAATGCACATGCTAATTTTAAAATTTATATGGAAAGACATATTTTAAGAAATTTTTATAAATAAGAATGGAATTGATAAAATTATCTTACCTGATTTCAATATTTCCAACAAATCTGTAGTAACCAAGACAGTATGTTCTTAAAACATATGCAGTCCAGATTAGAGCAGAATAGAGTCCAGAAATATACCTACATGGACTTGGTCAGCTGATTAAAACAAAACAAAACAAAACATTTTTTTTAGTTGTAGGTGGAAACAATACCTTTATTTTATTTTTATGTGGTGCTGAGGATCGAACCCAGTGCCTCACACGTGACACGCTTCCTCTGAGCCACAACCCCAGCCTGGTCAGCTGAGTTTTGATAAGGGTACCAAGGCCAAATAATGGGAGAAGTAAAATTTTTTTGAAAGAATGATCTTAGATCAACTGAATATTTGTGAACATCTACTCTTACCACACAATACATGCAAAAACTAAATTAAAGTGGATCACAGACATCAATGGAAAGTGTAACATGTTATACTTTTGTAACACTATAAAACTTCTAGAAGAAAATACAGTATAGGAAATATCTATATGCAAAGTTGGGTAGGGAGAGTTTTTTTAAAAAAATTTTAAACAAAAGGTGCATGACCCATAAAAAGAAGTAATTGACAATTTGAATTTCATTAAAATAAAAAATACTGCTTTTCGAAAGTCACCATTAATAAGATGTTAAAGCAAATCAGAGAATGGGAGAAATTATTCACAACACATTTATCAAGATAGTGACAACATATGTATCTAGAATATATATAAAAAAACTCTTATGTCTCAAAATGAGCAGAAGCTATAAATAGACATTTCACCAGATAAGACACAGATAGCAAATAAGCACATTAAAAATATCATTGGGGGCTGAATCCAGTGGCACACACCTGTAGTCTCAGTGGCTCCAGAGGCTGATCCAGGAGGATCACAAGTTTGAGATTGGCCTCAGCAACTTAGCAAGACCCTAAAAAACGTCGTGAGACCCTGTCTCAAAAACAAACAAACAATAAAAAAAAAAAATGGGCTGGGGATGTAGCTCAGTGGTAAAGCGCTCCCGGGTAAATCTTTAGAACTAAAAATAAATAAGACAAAACAAACACAACAAAAACAAGTCATTGGGGAAGTATCCCTTAAAATAACAATGAAACACAATTCTATTCATACATATTAAAATGACTAGATATATAAAAAAATTGACCATTCCAAATACTGGTCAGGATGTAGATAAAACAGAACTTTTATACCCTATTAATTAGAATGTAAAATTGTACACTACTTTGAACAATGATTCAGCAGTTTCCTAAAACATTTTACATCTACCATATGACCCAGATGTTCAATTTCTAGGCATTTTCTCAAGGGAAACAAAAACAAAAACATTTGTTAACATCTAGGGATAGTTAACAAATGTGTATAGAATTTTACTTGTAATATCAAACGCCCGTTAACAGATGCATGGATAAATAACTTGTGATATATCCAATGCAATGGAATACTACTCAGCAATGAAAAAGGAGGAACTATTAATACATGGAACAACAGTTATGAATCTCAAAATAACTATGCTGAGTTTAAAAAGCCAGGAAAAATTAGGCTAGGGTATATACCGTATTATTATGTTTAAATGTTTTTGAACATGTAAACTAACATAGTGGCAGATCAGTGGTTGCTTGGGGGAAGGAATAAAGGGATGAATGTTTATGAATAGGCACAGGTATTTTTCAGGGATGGTGTAAGTGTTTGCTACTTATCCTAATAATGTGTGTATATGGATATGTCAAATTGTACACCTTCAATAAATGTAGTTTTGACTACTTAAATAGTAAATCAATGAAGCTGAAAAATAAAGAGTATCAGGTCCATAGAATTTCCTGCCATGGAGTAGGTTAGCTTCTATTCTTGAGGAGTCTCATTATAATTTCAGATAAATGTGGCATAAATCTAATTTTATTCATTCTCAATACCTAACCAAAACAAGATAAAGGGATTTTTTTTGACAGTATAACCCAAAAGAATAAGGAAATGATAATGATAACATTTTGAACACTAGAAATTGGATGGACAACTAGAAAATTACCTGAAAAGGCCAAATTTTAAGTTGACAATGAGTATGGCCAAGAAGCAACTCAGTGTCGTAAAGGACTCGGGCATCATCAGTACCAAGGACTTCTCTGAGGGGACTTGAAATCTTAGAAGCAGTTAGATGACTGGACTCCCCTCCCTGGCCCCATGACCCTAGATGACTGTTCCTTTTCCACCTAGACATGAAACTGGAGGTTCATTCCCTGGGAAGGTAGAACAAAGGGTTCTGGACTGGGGATTCTGGATGGAAGAGGAACAGAGTGACGGTATTGAAAATCGGGTGCTCAAGACTTGTGTGCATAATGAGCGTGGAAGTTCCTAGTCTGCTTCTCTCAAGAGCTCAACAAGGCATTCAGGCCTCTGCCTTCCAGAAAGTGGCCTTCTCTATGGAATGTGACCCATTCAAGACAAAGACTTAAGAAGACTGAGACTGAAGGTTCCAAGTGAACACACCACCCAGTTCTCTCAACTATGAAACTCTTGGTTCAAAAGCTCTGTCCTTGGGCACACAGGTTTTATCAGCCTTTTGGCTCCTTTACCTAAACAAGAGAAGACAACTTAGCACTATGAGAGAGCTAGGGAAGGTTCCAAATGAAAGGTAACAACCAAAAAAGAAAAAGACAATGAAAACGATATTATTAAAAATTTGTTATTATTCCAAGAAAGAGAACAAAAAAAACCATTTATCTTTGTTCAAAAGAACAAGATTCCTTGAAATGAACATCCAAAAGGACTTGAAATTTAAAAAAAAAAAAGTATAGAAAAAATACTGAAAAAAAAAAGATTTGGAAGATAAAAATTAAAGAAAGTTCCTCCTATAAGTTTCTACAAACCCAAAATCCAAACCTAAAACAAAACAAAAAAACATAAATGGAAAATAAAAGAGAAAAAAATAGGAAATCAGACTACCAGTCAAGGAGTTGAAGAGAGAAATTTCAGAGAAGTGGAGAGAGGGATTTACCAACAAAATGATTTAATGTTATTCCCTCAAAGTGAAGGATCTGCTTTCCTAGAATGAAAGGAGGCAACAAAGTCACTGAAAACTGATGTCCACTAAGTACCCTCATACTTCAGAGCACTGGGGGTAAAGAGAAGGTTCTCCAAACTTCCAGAGGAGACAAATCATGCTACATAAAAAGGAAAAGAAATTAGAATGGTCTCAGATTTAATAAAGACAATCTTAAAAAGTATGGAAAAATAGAACATTACCTTTATACTTTAAGGAAAAAAATGATTTCCAACCTAGAAATCTATACAGTCAAACATCATATATTAAGTGTTAGGACAGTCTCAAAACATTTAGTCCTATGAACCCTTTCTTGAAAAGCTATTGAAGGATATAGCCAATAAAACAAGATTGTGAACCAAGAAAAAGGGAGACACTCTCTTATGTTTGGATAGAAGGAGTGTCCCCTCTCCCCGCCAACAAAGCTCCTGTGTTACTGCAGGAAGGTGCTGGTGTGAAATGATCAGGTTATGAGAGCTGTAACCCATTTAATGGGCTAATAATTTGAGTGGACCAATTGGGTGGTAACCTCAGCCAGTGGGGCATGGCTGGAGGAAGGGGTCCGTGTGGGCATGCCTTGGAAATCACATCTCTCTGGCTCCTGGTGTTCTCTCTCTGCTTCCTGGCTCTCATGACCTGCACAGCTTTCCTTCACCACACCCTTCCAGAAGGATGTTCTGCTTCTCCTTAGGCCCAGAGCAATGGGGCTAGGTGACCATGGTCTGAGACTTCTGAAACTCAGCCCCCAATTATGATTTTTTTCCTCCTGAAAGTTGTTCTGGTCGGGTATTTTGGTCACAGCGATGAAAAGCTGACTGACAACACATTGTACCAAGGAAAAAACTTCAACTCGGGAGACGGGCAAGCTCCCCTGCTTGATGGCAAAAGGAAATCTTGAATGAGAACACTGGGCACAAGTAATGACTAAAGCGTGTCCCAATCTCAGGGAGAGGTGACTTTAAGGAGATGAAATTTATAGAATAGCTAAAATTAAAGAAATGTATTGAGAGTATATTTAGACAAGGAGGGAAGGATTTGAGGTTGACTTAGGGATAGGCACATAGAAAGCTAAGCAATGAAAAGAAAATTCAAAACAATGATTAGCTCCAGGGTGAATGAAATATTGGGCATAGAAGGAATTTTAATAATACTTTATTGCCTGGCTCATTTCTGAATTATATATATATAATGATAAGGTAAAGACTGAATGCTCATCTAAATTTTGATTTTTCTCTCCCGGGAAGGACTAGGATATGAGGAGTATGCATGCATTTGGGATCCAGGAGAAGAAAAAAGAGCTAATTCCTTACTTTTCTATTAATAAATAATGCCTAAAATTGGGGAAAAAAATCTAGAAATAGCAATATAAGCATCTTCTTGGGTTAAATACCAAGAGTCAGCTCAAAGTTATCATTTTATGGCTGGAATACTAGAAAGTGGGGTGCCTTGAAAATCCTGTGTGTATTAACAAATCATATAGAAGTGCTTACTCTTGAACCATATGCATGTATTACTTTGATAAGAAATAGTTTGTGTTTTTTAAAGCATCCTTGGTTGTAGAGTTTCTGACCTCCATAAATTTCTAGTTGTTCTGGTGAAACTCTCTAGAACCTAATACATTCCTCCTCAATAAGAACTGAGATCATGGAGTCTGCAACTAAACTCTTTGCTCTTGGATTCCTGGACTCTAGGACAGTTTCAAGTGTGGCTTACATCTAACAGCCAACCTCTTGGTGAGTGGTAGAAAAATAAGACCAGGTAATATTAGCCCTTAGCAGGGCTGAGGCAAATTATATTTTGTCACACTGGGAATAGAGTCAGGTAATGCTATTGAGACACCCCTGTTTTAGTCTGTTTTTCTGTTGCTATGACAAAATACTCATTACTGGATCCTTTATAAAGAAAAGAGTTTTATTTAGCTCACAGTTCTGGAGGTTCAAGAGCATGCTGCTAGCATCTGGTCAGCTCTGGGAAGGGCCTTCTGGCTGTATTACAACATGGCAGATGGCATCATCATGTTGGGAACACATAAGAGAGGGAGAATTCATATGGTGAGACAGGAAACGAGAGATTTAGGGACCAGGCTTACTCTTTATATAACAACCCACTCTGATGGGAACTAACCAGGGGTTTAGGTGAACTACATTATGGAGTGATACCCCATTGATCTAATTACTTCCAGTAGGCCTCACCTCCCAGAGGTTCTGCCACCTATTAACATTGGGAATCAGCTTCTCGTATATAAACTTTGGGGAACATATTCAAAGCACTGCAGTGCTCTTATAAAGGAAGCTTGAGTGAGACTGTTTACCCTTCTGTGTCACATGAGAACACAGAGGGCATTATCTGTGAAGCAGAGAGCAGCTCTCACCAGACAACAAATATGCTGGTATCTTGATTTTAAACTTTCTAGCCTTCAGAACTGTGAGAAGTAAATTTCTGTTGTATATGAATTACCCAGCCTAATGTATTTTGTTATAGCAGCTCGAATGAATTAAGACATGGGGAAAAGTAAAGATGCTAAGAACAGGTAACTTCAGTTCATTCCTTTATCAGATCCCAGAGGTAGAAAGGAAGATCTGATTCTTCATCTGGACCAAGAATTAATTTCAAGGTGAAGTTTACTGGTTTTATATGAAATGGAAAGTACTGAAAATACTTCAGTGTGGTACTGTGGCAACATTAGTCATTTGAAAAAGTCAAGCTTTATGAGCTTTTGCTTCTTTGATTTTTTTAATTTTCCAAACATTTATGTAAAAATAAGTAAACTTTTTACTTTTTTATTTCCTATTTCACCCCAACATTTTCCTCACCCGATCTTCATCATTAACAAAGTTATGAGTTTCTTCTGTCAAAATGAGTTGGCATTAAGGCTATCATTAAAACATACTGCTAACCTTTGTAATATTTTTTGTAAAGGACATTATAAAGGAGTGATGATGTGGGATCGGGAACGGGGATGGTTTTGAAGGGCAA